TCATCTCCTTATCAATCAATATCATCATCCTCATCATCATCTCCAACATCATCATCATCATCAACATCATCATCATCAACATCATCATCATCTCCAACATCATCATCATCTTCAACATCATCATCATCTTCAACATCATCATCATCTCCAACATCATCATCATCATCATCATCATCAACATCATCATCATCTCCAACATCATCATCATCTCCAACATCATCATCATCTCCAACATCATCATCATTTTCTTCATCTTCTCCTTCTTCTTCATCATCCTCATAATCACTTGAGTAGAGTGCGTAATGCGAATCTCCACCACACATCTCCCCACCGTTCACACATTTCAACCGACAGTTCGAGGTCTCCACTGCTTGATCAGCTTCATCCACGCAATAACATTCTTTCCCGCCCTAATTTTTCAAAATTAGGGATTTTAATATTTTGTCTATATAATAATTTTATGATCTTTTATCTATTTTTTCATTCATTCTTTTTGTCACTCGTTCCATAATTTTTTCTTCAACAATTCGTTTGTTCGTTTGTTTCTAACTCATTAAATTACTCATTGGTTTAACATTTCATTCATTCGTTCGTTCATTCGTTCGTTCGTTCATTCGTTCGTCCATTTGTTCGTTCATTCATTCATTCAACTACCCATTAATTCAATTAATCATTCAGTCATCTGGACGTCCATTAATTCATTCATTCATTCACTAATTAATTCATTCATTCACAAATTCATTTAATCCAAAACAGACAAAAAATAACAAGTACAAAAATAAAAACAACAACAACAACAATAATAATAATAATAATTATTATTATTTATATTAATATTTATATTATATTTCTCTCACGGATAAAGCGATCATGTGCGAATTTGCGCGCGCGTCGCAAAACGCTCGACACTCGGCGACAGATTTGACGAACGCGACGGCACCGTAGAGGATTTTCGCATAGCAGCCGATGTAGTCGCTGCTCTTGTCTGTCGGTTGAGAAGTTTTGAAAATTTCTCATTATTACTGTTATTATTAACATATTAATATTATTAAAATATTATTATTATTATTATTATTATTATTATTAGTTGTAATAGTAGTAGTAGTAGTAGCAGCAGCAGTAGTAGTTGTAGTAGTTGTGATAGTAGTAGTAGTAGCAGTAGTAGTAGTAGTAGTAGTAGTAGTAGTAGTAGTAGTAGTAGTAGTAGTAGTGGTGGTGGTGGTGGTGTTAGTAGTAGTAACAGTAGTAATAGTTGTTGTAGTAGCAGTAATAGTAGTAGTAGCAGTAGTAGTGGTAGTAGTAGTAGCAGTAACAGTAGTAGTAGTTGTTGTAGTAGCAGTAGTAGTAGTAGTAGTAGTAGTAGTAGTAGTAGTAGTAGTAGTAGTAGTAGTAGTAGTACTAGTAGCAACAGTAGCAGTATGACGACCAACTCACCTCTAATATCACACATCAATCCCATCCAACCAGATTCACATTGGCCGGGCAGACAATTACTGTTATTATTGTTGTTGTTGTTGTTGTTGTAGTTGTTGTTGTTTGTCGAATTTCTGTTGTCATTATTCATACAGAAGTGATATGTCGTCGTCTGCCTTGCGTACGTATACCTTCCGAGCACTGGAATTTTTAAAGTTAGATTAATTTAATTAATTAACTTAATCCAATTAATTAACTTAAAATAATTAATTAACCTGATATAATTAAGTAATTTAATTAATCTATTTAATTTAACTAATTGAATTAGTTGGATAATAGAAGCTGAAAAGTGACAAAAGAGCTATGCATCTGCTTTTCGTATCGTTATATCTCATTACCTATCGTATCGTATCGTTAAGATTCTAATTAGAATTTTAATATCGTATGAGATCAATTTGAAATAAACTTCCAATCATTTGGGAAACAAATTTCAACCATTTCGAAACGTTTCGTAATAATAACGAGACGAGACGCGGATACTCGTATAAAGACCGTACGTGAGTATAAACTGTACACATTCGGTCCACCGCATGGCCTACTAGCGTCGTCATTGCATCTGATGTGGCATTTTGAATTCGGTGTCTGGTGGTTTTCTGATAAGGTGCTGGTGCAAATACACCGAGTGCCGTTCTGTTTTGTGGCATTTGTAGGTTTGTATTGTAGTTTTTGTGTGTTTGTATGTTTGCATTGTATTTTTGTGTGCTTGCATGTTTGTATTGTATTTTTGTGTGTTTGTATTGTATTTTTGTTTGTGTTTCATTAATTAATTAATTAATTCATTCATTCATTCATTCATTCATTTCAATCAACCATCCAGTCTACTAACTCACCAGTATTGCAAAGAACGTTGTACTGGTGACCTTGCAATACAACATGCAAGCAGAAAACGAACCGTCAACGTCAATCATAAACGAAAGACCGCCCACTATGGTCCCGCTCCCATCAAAACAGCCAATCAGAGAAACTTTATTTATAGCTTCTGCGAGAGTTTTTTTTTAAATTTAAATTGCATTTATAATTAAAATTT